ATATACTACATACATATGTAGTGGGAGTGCGAGCTGTCTTTGCTGAGAGTGTTTACGAATSAAGCTAAAAGTTCGACTCTTGTTTGGCTAGTAGCAATGTAGTTTATTTAATAAATAAATATAGAATATCAGACTGTTTATGTTTACACTTTAGCTTGATCAGAAAAATAATACGAATTCGACTGCTATAAATAAATATATTTAAAATAAATAAATAAAATCTAGGAAATCACATCAGCTTAAAATCTAGCCAGAAAACAGTGAATGCACAGCACTCATAGAGCGTTACAGAGTGTGAGAGTGAGAGAGCCAAAGAGCGTACGCCGATACCTGCTTTGCCTTATTGCTGAATTCAGAGCGCCTGCCTGCTATGGCTGCGTGCATGTGTGTGCGTGCGTGTTGGTGTGTACGTGTGTGTGCTGCCGTTGCCTCTCTCATTTATTGTGTCGCTTTGTCGCACTGTGGCTCATTCTGTTACTCACCATCGAACCGTTCGGACGTCGCTGCGCAACTCAATTGTCGTGTTCCGGTTTTTGGTGTTCACTTGAAGCTCGTTTAACGCTCGTTCGTTCCAGAGTGAAGAATATAATACAGATAAAAAGCAAATTTAACTGGACTTAAAGTGCTAACGGAATTCGTAATCGTATTTGTGCAGTGCTCATCTAGTCCACCCACAACAACAACAACAACTACACCAGTGTATCCCCCCTATTTAAACAAACTGTCGCAAATGCGACGCATATCCAAGTATCCAAGTATCCAAGACTAAAGTTATAGTAGTATCTGAAGTCTAGGAAACTCAGACACTCACACACCCACACACACACTTACAGCAATGGCTACCAATACAGAGCTGCTGCCCTTCCATCATCAGACAACAATCTCGCTACAGACAGCAGCCGCCCTCACTAACTATCATGGCGGTGGCGCCGGAGGAGGCAGTGGTGGCGGCGGCGGTGGCGGTGGAGGAGGAGGTGGAGCTACAGCTGGTGGCTCGGCGGCTGCTGCAGCTGCGGCTGCCTGGAACCGAGACGAACTGTATCAACAGACTGAGCTGCCCGGCTTGACACGCAACGCCCACCACCTGCTGCGCTTTACGCCCTATGCACTGCACCATCGGCCCCAGCTGCAAACATTGCCACCTGCGCTCTACTTGCAACATGCGGCTGCCGCGGCGGCAGCAGCAGCCGCAGCCGCTGCAGCAGCACATGCCCAGCATCATCATCACCATCATCATCATCTTCATCATCAGCACAGAGCCGCCTCGCCGGAGAGTCCGCCGCCCGTGGAGGGCACACACATTAGCAACCTATTTCCGGAGCTACTGGAGCAGATCTTTGAGCATCTGCCGGTGCGAGATTTGGGGCGGGCCGCACAGGTGTGCACCGCCTGGCGGGATGCAGCCTATGCGAAGAGCGTGTGGAAGGGCGTCGAGGCGAAACTACATCTGAAGCGCTCCAGTCCCAGTCTCTTCAATTGCCTCGTCCGACGGGGAATCAAGAAGGTTCAAATCCTATCGCTGCGCCGCTCGCTCAAGGATCTGGTCGTGGGCGTGCCGGCGCTGACATCGCTGAATCTCAGCGGCTGCTTCAATGTGGCCGACATGAATCTGGGTCATGCGTTCAGCGTCGATTTGCCGAATCTGAAGACCCTGGATCTCTCGCTCTGCAAACAGATCACGGACACCAGCCTGGGCCGGATTGCACAGCACCTGAAGAATCTGGAGACGCTCGAGCTGGGCGGCTGTTGCAATATCACGAACACAGGACTGCTGCTGATCGCGTGGGGTCTGAAGAAGCTGCGCCATTTGAATCTGAGATCCTGCTGGCACATCAGCGACCAGGGCATCGGCCATCTGGCCGGGTTCAGTCGGGAGACGGCCGAAGGAAATCTGCAGCTGGAATATCTGGGCCTGCAGGACTGCCAGCGTCTGAGCGATGAGGCACTGGGTCACATAGCACAGGGTTTAACCTCACTAAAGTCCATCAATCTGAGCTTCTGCGTTTCGGTGACGGACAGCGGATTGAAGCATCTGGCCCGCATGCCCAAGCTGGAACAGCTGAATCTGCGCTCCTGCGACAACATCTCCGACATTGGCATGGCCTATCTGACGGAGGGTGGAAGTGGCATCAATTCCCTGGACGTGAGCTTCTGCGACAAGATCAGCGATCAGGCACTCACCCACATTGCCCAGGGTCTGTATAGGCTGCGTTCGCTCAGTTTGAATCAATGCCAGATTACGGATCAGGGCATGCTGAAGATAGCGAAGTCGCTTCATGAACTGGAGAATCTCAATATCGGACAATGCAGTCGGATAACGGACAAGGGATTGCAAACACTGGCGGAGGATCTGTCCAATCTGAAGACGATCGATCTCTATGGCTGCACGCAGTTGAGCTCGAAGGGCATCGACATCATCATGAAGCTGCCCAAGCTGCAGAAGCTCAATCTGGGCCTGTGGCTGGTCAGATGATGCGTCCATCATGATTGCAATGCCTGCGCAGCGGCCGAGGCAGAGAAGTCGGCGCAGGCGAACGCTTAGGATGCAGACATCTATGTCTATGTCTCTCTCACTCTCTCTGAGTGTGGTGTCTGTGTGTGTTTGTGTGCGTGTGACTTTAGCTGAGGCTTCTTTTTGACTTTGTCTTCCTACTCGTCTCCTTCTACCTGCGTGCCGTGTTGCATGTCTGACGTTGAAGGCAAGGCACGTAATTACACACACCAGCACACACAGAAACACATACATACACACAGAGAGCTGAGCAGACAACTAAGTAAAGTAAAGTATAAAAAAAAAAAACAACAACAAGATACACTGAAAACTCATAGCTTTCGTTTGCCATACCACACGCTGTACTAAATTTTTTCGTACGAATCGAGTAGAAAACGAAACAGCAAAAGCAACAGCAGAGACAGAGCGCAGGCAAGTCGAGCGAACGAGCGAGAGGCAGAAAACAACAAACGCCAACAACAAAAAGCAAACAATGAACAAACACACGTACATACATACTGACAGACGTACATACATACATACGTACATGCATACACAAGCACAACTACGGCAACGRCGGAGCTGAAGCTTGCTATGTTGCTGCTGCTGCTGCTGCTGCCGCCGCAGGTTCCTAAGGGGCTAGCAGCGGCGCACTTGTGGGCCTGGTAGAGGTTAGCAGGGTTGGGAAGGGGGCGCGACGCGTCAGCTTACACGCACGCAGCGCAGCGGCGGCGATAAAAAGAAACAAGAGAAAAAAAAATAACACGGCTGCAGCTATGGCCGACGGCAGCAACAAAGTGCATGGCGATGGAGACGCGCGATAAGCATAGCGCAAGAGTGGAAGAGAGAGAGAGAGAGAGAGAGGGAAAGAGAGCGGACAAACACACACACATATACGTATGCATATGCATAAATGTGCGTGCGTGTGTGTGTGTGTGCTTGTGTATAATGCAGGCCGCAGTTAAACAGATGCAAATAAATTTAAATAGTTTATTTTAATTCACGCTTCGGCAACAACAGAAACAACGGCGAAAAAAATTGTAGAAGCAGAAACAACAAAAGCCAGCGTCCTCCAACGCTATAACAACTACAGACGCAGCAATGGCGTCAGCTGCGACGCCAGCAGCGACGCGGGCAGCGCTTTAAGCTTGCCCGCAATAGCAACAACAACAACAACAACGACGACGACCACACAAAAAAAAAAGTTTGCTCTTTGTTGGCGCTCTCTGTCTCTGCCTTTTGTTAGAAATGTTTTTTTTTTTTTTTTTTTTTTTTTTTTTTTTTTTTTTTTTTTTTGTACTTTTTTTATTTTTTTTGAGATTCTTTGTGTTAAACTTTAGTTTATATATTTTTTGTGTGTTTGTTTTGCTTTTTCGTTTTGTTTCGAATTTGTTTAGTGCAGCGTCGTTAGTAATGCCGTTTAATTTAGTTGGCGATTAAATTTAAAACATGTTAATAGTAGACACTTAACGCAAATTTAATAAATTTACATTTAGTTTTAGTTCGTAACTCGGTCAAACAATAACAACAATTAGTCAAATAACTCAACAAAGCA